AGAGAGGAGGAGAGAGGAGAGAGAGAGAGGAGAGAGAGCAGAGAGAGAGAGAGAGAGAGAGAGTCTCTCTTCTCTCTCTCTCTCCTCTCTTCTCTCTCTTTTCTCTCTCTCTCTCCTCTCTCTCTCTCTCTCTCTCTCTCTCTCTGCTCTCTGCTCTCTCTCTACTCTCTCTCTATAGAAGGATCGCTCTATAGATTTTCTCATTTGAGGACTGCTATTTTAACTTTGAAAATTCCTTTCAAAGTGGAGGCAATCCCAACAACTAACAGTCACTTAAAGAATAGACCATAGCAAAGGTAAAGACAGTAGGGCTCTTCGGCAGCCATACTTTCCCAAAATTGAGGGCATAAAAACCAACCAGTTTTGGGACAACGGATGAAACCTATTCCAAGAACAGGGTAACCACTCAAGTCCTCCAAGAGATAGGAACGGCACAGTGTTGGACCTTATCGCGGGAAATGAACTGAGGCACACATAACAACCTACAGGATGGATGAGGAGACGTTCATGGGTGTTCAGGTGATTCAGACTAATATCTTTTGGAGACGTAAAGCAAACACATCACCCCACATGCGTTGTCTTCCTCCTCACCTTCACCAACGCCCCCAAACACAAAAGGCTGGTAAACCTCTTAGTACCAGCCATCGTAGACACCCTTGTTCAGGGTCATAAAGCTGAGGTCATGAGGTCCAACTACAGAGTGGACAGCTTGAACAAGATTTCGAAAGCTAAGTCCCCAGAGTCTAATGCGGGAGGAGCAGGCAGGGGTACGAAGAGGAGGGGAGATGCTTTAGGTAAGAAAAAAGTATATTTACTTTTGCCATCTCCTCTGTGCTATGCAACAGTTGCCTACCTTTATATTCACACAACACAGCCAATCATCCAATCCTGTGACATGGCACAGTTCATTTCAATAGAAATTGGTATAAAAGAGAAGACCATTAGTCCTCTCATTGTGCTTATTGCTGTGGATAGGTGTTAACTATTTGTGTTGCATTGTATCATATCACAAGTTGTTTTCATCTAAGGCATCACCACCAGGTGAATGTCGGAAGCTTGAAGATTAATGGAGCTGTAAAGAGGTGGTAAGTAAAACAACTTTTTGTATGCATTGCATGTGATTGATGTAGTTATAAAAAGTATATCATAAGCTGTCATTACAGTCTAAATATCTAACAGCAAAAGCAGCAAACGGAGGAGAGTCTGAGGAGGAGAGGAGGAGAACAAAGGAAACAGGGAAAGGAGGAGAGTCTGAGGAGTAGAGGAGGAGAGGAGAACAAAGGAAACAGGGAAAGCGGAGTAAAGAGCAGAGTTGAAAGAGAAGTTGAAAGCAGAGCAAACAGTAGCAGGGGAAGTAGAGGAAATGTAAAAGTCACTTTGAAAAGTAACAGCAAGAAGATCAGAGTTGCATAATGTTATTTTGTTTTATTCGTTACTGTTATATTAATGTTGTATGTTAATGTGTGTACTAACAATAGTAGTGATGAGACAAATTAAAGAGGAAAGAATGGTTGCTGGGGACAAGTGGAGATAAAAACCTAATGGAAAGAAGAAAATAATAACCTGACCCAGGTCTTCATAAAATAGCTTTGTATTCAAATGACATGGGGAAATAATTCAGATTGATCAGAAATAGCTTTATTGGCCAAGTAAGTGTGTACACATACAAGGAGTTTGACTGTTTTCTAACTCTCAATGTACTTGCATAGAAATAAACAACAGCTAAAAACAAGGACAACAAAGCTGAATGAAGTAAACATAAACATTGACTACTGTACAGATATTAATATATATACAATTGTATCTATATATATATCTATGAATGTATGTATGTATGTATGTATGTATGTATGTATGTATGTATGTATGTATGTATGTATGTATGTATGTATGTATGTATGTATATATATATACAATATATACAGTATAGCTGTATGTCAGTCTGATATGTACTGTTCCTGTGTCTGGTACTTTTGCATACTTTATTTTGATTTAGATGTTGGAACTTTTCATTATTTTAGTAAATCATCATATAGCTAAATCAACAAATGAAATACACAATCCTTAGTTACATTGTTAGTTTTCCTCTCAATATGAGATATTGGTACACAAACAGTGAGTACATATTCAAGGTACTTGTACTTTACTTGAGTATTTCCATTGTATATACTTCCAATACATTTAGTTACATGACAGGTTTAGTTACTTTTTAGATTACAGTTTTTCATCCCCTTCCTGTCCAGTGAAAACCAAGTATCTCCAAATGTGTTGATGTTGAATGTTTGTGATAAACTGAAGGATAAAGTGTTCCTTTATGTGTTGAGAAAATTCCCCTCCTTCTTAAGCCAAGTAAGGTGTTTAAAAAGCCTCTTGGATCAGCGGGAAAATACATCGTCACAAAGCTGAAAACAGCTGTTTTTCTGAGGAACTCTTGAAAAGTTTACTTTTGAAAGATACGTGGTTCTCACAGGACAGAGACAAAGCTACACATATATGACGATTTTATAGAATATCATGCATTGCTGCAGATTAAACTACCCAACGGGATATCAAGGAGGTAAACACATCTACAGCAGTAACATGCAACATAGCCTATGCAGCAGCAATATTAAAAGAGAAACATCAGACATAGGCTAATAGTAAAACACTGAAAGGGAACATTGTATTTCACCAGGAGCTATCCTCTTGGCCTTATCGAACATAAGGTTTAGTACTACACGCTACCAATCGCAGTTGTGGAGACATAGGCCTAGTTGTCTCTTTGTAGGACACTGATTTAAATTATTCTTAAACTATGAATTTTTTATGCTGTGTATGTCATTTATTATATTTAATGCCTTGTATTTTATCTATGTAATG